GAGCATCCAGAGGAAACCCACGCTGACATGGAGAGAACGTGCAAACTTCACACAGACAGTCCCCCAAGAGTGGAATCAAAACAGTGTCCCTGGTGCTGTGAGGCAGCAGTACTAACCACTGAGCCACGGTGCCGCCCGTAATCCATTCACCTCCTCCATCCTCACTGTCCAAGGACCCAAACACACTGAAGCAAATGTTTCACTTGTCCTTCAATCTAGTCCACTGTATTCACTGCTCATAATACAGTCTCCTTTACATCGTAGACACAAACACAGTGTGGATAACTACTCTGTGGAACATCTCCCCTCTGTCTGTAGGAATGGCCCTGACCTCCCAGTTGTTTTACCATTTCAATAATCCACCTTGCTCTCACACTAACATTCCTGTACTGGGTCTGCTCCAACATCCCAATGAAATACAACACAAGCTTAAGGAACAAGACCTCATTTTCCACTTAGGCACTTTACAGCTTCTACGACTTAATACTGACTTCCAGAACTTCAGAGCATGACCTTGATCAATTAATTACCTTGATAAATTCATTAATTAATGATCTTGATTAATTAATTTAATTATACCACAACAGCATCTTGATTGCTCTCAATAACACAGATTGATTTTAGCACCTTCCATTAACATCTACTTTACATCTATAGCTCCCCATCATCACTAGCATCCTTCTTGTCTTTTGCACTGTGCACTGTAACCAAATGTTCCATTTGTTCCCTGTCTCCCCTTTTGTCAATAGCACAAAAGCCTTCATTTATCATCAATTCCCCCTGCCCCTATTCAGGTCCAAAGAAGTGTCATATTGGAATCTTGAAATATTGAAATCTTAACTGTTTCTCACCCCAAAGATCCTGCCAGACCTGCTATATTTTTTCAGCACATTCTGTTTCTATATTAGAAATTCACCAAGGCTCCATAGTCAGCACCTTCCAAACCCACGACCACTACCATCCAGAAGGGCAAGGGCAGCAGATACATGGGAACACCACCACCTTCAGGTTTCCCTTCAAGCCACTCACCATCCTGACTTGGAAATCTATCGCTGTTCCTTCACTGACGCTGGGTTAAAATCCTGTAATTTCCTCCCTAACAGCATTGTGGGTTAACCTACAGCACATGGACTGTAGCGGTTCAAGAAGGCAGCTCACTACAACCTTCTCAATGGCAACCAGGGATGAGCAATAAATGTTGCCACAGCCAGTGATGCTCACATCCCTTCTGTGATATTGTCAGTATAAAATATGACGAAAGGTGCATAATATTATCTTTTGGGATTTGGATTTTAATACAAAGATAGATGGAGGAGGGCTGTTTTGTGAAAGTATTTTTCTTCAAACATGTATTTTTTGAAACAGTAACCTGGTTGCATTAATCCCCAGAAGACTTTTCCTTCAGGCTAGCAGAACCCCTACAATGTTAAAGGATAGAATATTTATATTGCTGAGTTTACAACACATAAAATGCTATTTGTTTAGTTTGGGAGTTCAGTTCAGAAGTTTAGTTTAGAAGGGATAGCAGTTTCTCCCAATCAGAGAATTGAGCTTTTAGCTCAAGGGAGCTGCTCACTGTGGCCAAAGCATTATAGATGGTGGAACTTCCAACCAGGACAGTTCAGATAGAAATCATCAAGTTATTAGAACTGAAAAAGTTTAAAGGCATCAGAGTTGTGAAAGGTAGAGGTCTTAAGAACAAATCATAAAATTGTCTCCATAGACCAAGACTAAGAAACTGGGAGGAGTCAATTCAGTAAGAACTTGAAGAGTTGAGATCAGAGTAAAAGGATAATGTTGCATAAGAAATTAAAACCTTGTTATGCTTTTTGTGTTAGGATTTTTCTAACTGCTACTTTTTATATATAGGTTTATACTTTTTGTGCAATGAATGTGCAATTCAGTTGTTAAAGAACATCTGCAGCCTTGTCTAGCTAAATTGACTAACCACCATGATAACCAACTTAAACACATGATTAAAGAAGACAGGTTTTGTTCTGGGATCTGACTTGTCAGCATTACTCATACATGGGATCTCTACCATTCTTTTTGTTCTGTTGTTATAAAGCACACTTACTGCTCCAAACTGACCCCATGCACAGCACTGTTAACAGGACAACCAACTCTATCCTTACTAGAACACAGATACCACACTAGCTTGAACTAATGATGCATCTTCAACAATCCCAGTGCACAGATACAAAACCATTCAACCGAGACATTTCCAAAGCTCAGAAATTGTACCAACCATTCCACTATGCCACTGCTCAAGGAGCAACTCAGTCCAGACCATTGGTACCAAATCTACCCTTTTACTGTACAGAAATGAAATCAAATAATCTTGGTCTTGCCAGTGTCACACATGCTAGATTCTTACATGTACAGATATGTGACCTGGCAGTATAATGAGAGAAGGTGCCACTGCTTTGCACCAGTGTGTTTTAAAACCTCTTACATCTGCATTCTCATATTAAAACCAAAAGAATTGCGGATGCTGTAAATCAGGAACAAAAACAAAGTTGCTGGAAAAGCTCAGCAGGTCTGGCAGCATCTGTGGAGAAGAAAACAGAGTTAACGTTTTGGGTCCGGTGACCCTTCCTCAGAACCGATGGTGGCTGGGAAAACGTCAGTTTATATGCAGAAAAAAGGGAGGTGGGTGGGGTAGAGAGTAAGCGATAGGATAGAGCCCAAAGAGAGAGAAAAACAGTTGGACAGACAAAGGAGTTGCTAACGATCAGGCTGGGAGGGTGAATAGTTGTTAATGGGGACTGTTAGTGACTAACAACAGGGGGCGTGTAGTGGCAGGCTATGTGATAACAAAGCCTGGTGTGTGGGGTGGGGAGCTGGGACATGGGAGAGTTTAGGCCCTAAAATTATTGAACTCAATATTGAGTCTGGAGGGCTGTAGGGTCCCCAAGCAGAAAATGAGGTGTTGTTCCTCCAGCTTGCGCTGGGCTTCACTGGAACACTGTAGCAAGCCGGAGACAGAGATGTTGGCCAGGGAGCAGGGTGGTGCATTGAAGTGGTAGGCAACGGGTAGTTCAAGGTCTTTTTTGCAAGCAGAATGTAGATGTTCTGCGAAGCGGTCGCCAAGTCTACGCTTCGTTTCCCCAATGTAGAGGAGACCACATTGTGAGCAGTGAATGCAGTAGACTAGATTCTTGGAAGTGTTGCTTCACCTGGAAGGTATGTTTGGGCCTTTGGATACTGGGGAGGGAGGAGGTAAATGCGCAGGTGTTGCACCTTTGCTGGTTACAGAGGAAGGTGCCGTAAGGCTGTGGGGAGGTGTTGGGGTGAAGGAGGTATGGACCAGGGTGTCCCGGAGGGAACAGTCCCTGCGGAAGGCGGACAAGGGAGGGGAGGGGAATATGTGTCTGGTGGTGGCATCTTGCTGGAGGTGGCGGAAATGGCGTCTGATGATCTTCTGGATGTGGATGCTGGTGGGATGGTAGGTGAGGATAAGGGGAACCCTATCGCTATTGCGGGAGGGAAGAGAAGGGGTGAGGGCAGAAGTGCAGGAGATTGGTCGGACCCGATGGAGGGCCCTGTTGAGCTGAGGAATCCTCGGTTGAGGAAGAATGTGGACATTTGAGGCTCCCTTGTCGAAGTTGGCCTCATCTAAACATATACGACGGAGATGGAGGAACTGAAAGAATGGGATGGAGTCTTTACAGGAAGTGGGGTGTGAGGATGTATAGTCCAGGTAGCTGTGGGAGTCAATGGGTTTGTAATGGATATTAGTGGCCAGTCTATCTCCAGAAATGGAAACAGAAATGTCGAGGAAGGGAAGGAAGGAGTCAGAGATAGACCAGGTGAAAGTGAGGGCAGGGTGGAAATTGGAGGCGAAATTGATGAAGTTTTCCAATTCTCAACGAGATAGGGAAGCAGCACCGATGATATCTTCGATGTATTGGAGAAAGAGTTGTGGGTGGGGGCCGGAATAGGACTGGAACAAGGAATGTTCCACGTACCCCACAAAGAGACAGGCATAACTAGGTCCCATGCGGGTACCCATGGCAACTCCTCTTACCTGAAGAAATTGAGAGGAGTTGAAAGAGAAGTTGTTGAGGGTGAGGACAAGCTCAGCCAAGCGGAGGAGGGTGGTGGTGGGTGGGGATGGTTCAGGTCTTTGCTCCAGGAAGAAGCGGAGAGCCCTAAGACCCTCCTGGTGGGGAACGGACGTGTAAAGGGATTGCACATCCATGGTAAAGAGGAGGTGGCTGGAGCCGGTAAACTGGAAGCCAGTAAACAGGGATGCTCCCTGGCCAACATTTCTGTCTCCGGCTTGCTACAGTGTTCCAGTGAATTCCAACGCAAGCTGGAGGAACAACACCTCATTTTCCGCTTGGGAACCCTACAGCCCTCCGGACTCAATATTGAGTTCAATAATTTTAGGGCCTAAACTCTCCCATGTCCCAGCCCCCACACACCAGGGTTTGTTACCGCATAGCCTGCCACTACACACCCACTGTTGTTAGTCACTAACAGTCCCCATTAACAACTATTCACCCTCCCAGCCTGATCGTTAGCAATTCCTTTGTCTGTCCAACTGTCTTTCTCTCTCTTTGGGCTCTATCCTATCGTTTACTCCCTACCCCACCCACCTCCCTATTTTCTGCATATAAACTGACGTTTTCCCAGCCACCATCAGTTCTGAGGAAGGTTCACCAGACTCGAAACGTTAACTCTGTTTTCTCCTCCACAGATGCTACCAGACCTGCTGAGCTTTTCCAGCAACTTTGTTTTTGTTGCATTCTCATATAGTTGCACCGTAGTAATACCTACTCTATTCTGGTCCATAACAATGCAGGGTCAGTCTACTTCATTGGGCATCCACAGTGGTCTTCGGTACTCAAAGTGTACAATCTCAGAAACCAAAATGATGGGAAGCATTTTGAAAAACTGGTTGGTAAGCCTTCCCTCTGTCAAAATCAGCCCCATAAAGTTTCAGAATGGCAGGCAGAGTTTTAATTCAGAATTATGAACTGCAGCACACCAACCTGATCTCTTTTCTCTGCGTCATAGTTCTTTGGAAAAGTTGGTGTGTTCTGCCCTTCCTGTGAAATTCCTCTTTCTTCCAAATATGTCTGCCATTTGGTTTCAAAATAAAACCAATTTTGTTGGTATTCTAAGGCAAAAAGTGCAATTATTGAGTCAATTCTTACAATTTCAGGATGCTTTTGAACTTTTAATGAAAATAGGTGTTGCTGGAAAGAGAACACATTTTTTAAAAACTTTTCTTGTGCTCATCAGGACTATTAGCAAGAATACCAAGATTAAAGGGAACCACGTTTTATACCATATGAGAAGGGAATGCTGATTGTTTGGTAAGTGGACTCTGATTGACAAGTGTGTTGTCATGGAAAGTGAAATGGGAAAATGATGACTAACAGTAAACTTCCAAGTTTTGTTTAAATTTAAACTAGGCAGGTTGACTCTGATTGACCAAGCAATTGCCCTGAGAAATAAACTAGAGAGTGGCTGTCACCTATTTTGTTGAAACAGATGTAGTGTTTGCACATGTCCTTCCTGTCTGCTAAGAACAAAAACTTTGTGTATTAACCTGTGTAGCTTCCAGTTCACTCAAGTGCACTGAACTATAAGCCCAAAGTGACAGCCTAAAATTGCATAATTCGTAGTGCACTCTCAACCATTTAGCAAATATTGTCCATTCATGCAATTAAATATAATGTGTTTTGCATTTTGCAATCACATGACAGTTGGACAATCATTGTCCACACCATAATTTTTTATGATTATTGCTGAAAAGAGAGACATGTTGTTGAAACTTCTTATCAGGACAAATGCAAGAATGCCTGATTTTAAATGATCACAACAATCCATATGATAGGAGAAATTAGTTTGATTGGTTTGCAGATTAACTCTGATTGACCATGGAGTTCCCATGGAAAAGGCAATCGTTCGAAGTTTGGCATTCTTGTATTTGTCCTGATGGGTGAAAACCTTTAGCAACAGTGTTAGTAGTCTGACAATATTTTCTTTTCTCAATTTCTCCTCTACTGAAGCCAGGGATTGATCTTAAGCTTCGCCTTGTCGAAGCTGTAAATCTTTCTCAGGCCTTCTATACTGAGGCTGTACATCTATCCAGGTCTCTCGTACTGAGAGTTGAGTTTTGAGATCTCTCCCATTGATCTAGTACACATCGGTGAACATACTCAGACAGCAGGAATTGCTGGAGTCAGAATGTGGAGCTGGAGGAACACGGCAGGTCAGGCAGCAGAGGAGCAGCTCCTGATGAAGGGTCCTGACCTGAAACGTCGACTTTCCTGCTCCTCTGATGCTAACTGACCTGCTGTGTTCCTCCACCTCCACACTCTATTGACTTTGCAAAAGTACTTACTAGTAACTGAATTGTCGGTTTTCAGTCTTTCCATTTGGGGTAACTGTCAAAACCTGTCCCTTTTGTGGGGAATAGTGAAAACAGACTGTTCCTTGCTTCCAAATAGGGTATTGAAATGAAACATGAACAGCCTCTGCTGCCATCAACATGAGGCAGTTCCAACTCTATTAGTTTGATGATACTATCATTCTCCATTTCGGTTGAAAACTGAATTACATTCCAATAGTCTTTACTCAGATTTTATATTTATACTATTGACTTCCAGCTAGTAATAACTCAATGCTGAGGACTCCCAGGTCAACTTCCTCCTGACTGTATACCACTGTGCTTCTGTTGGGTCTGTTCTGCCATTGGGACTGGATATATCCAGGGACAGGGTTGATAGTGTCCCAGAAATTAAGTGGGAAGTATGATTCTGTGACTACTGGAAATTTCCCCTAATTCAGGCACATGTTCCTAGTTTGCCAATGCGTCAAATTTAAAATTGTCATTGTAAAAAAAACAGAAATTCCTAGAGAAACTCGTCAGGTCTGGCAGTATCTGTGGAAACAAAGCAGAGTTAACGTTTCAGGTCCAGTGACCCTTCTTTGGCTCGGAGTCAATCTTTAACTATCCACCTGTGAAGCATCCTGGGAACTCACTTCAAATCAAGGAACAAAGGACAATGCAGACATCACCGAATCCAGTCTTAAAGTTGGAAGTTTCTGTTAATCCTCCTCCCCGAGTCCCCACCATAAAGTTCTCACCTGACATGTGACGAATGGTTTTCCTGCAGTAAGCCTCAGCCACAGCAACCACCTTTAACATCTCCCTTCCCCACTCCACTATGGGCTTGCGTTGCACAGCATAGGATGCAAAAAGAGCTGTGCACAGCGATCCGAGGAAACCTGTTGCAAATAGAGAGAGAGAGAGCGAGGGAGAGAGAGAGAGCGAGGGAGAGAGAAAGAGTGAGAGAGAGAGCGAGGGAGAGCTGGTTCAGTAATAACAGACCAAACCAAAGTGAATGAATGCTTGTAAAGGAGAAAAAACATGATGTAGGCCTTTGCTGGAGTGTTATACCCAATTCTTAGCATCAGACTTTGGAAAAGATTTACAGAACTTGGAAAATTGAATTGAATTAGCTTTATTGTCACATGTACTCAAATGAAAAGTTTACAGTCACCTCATTACAGCACCATCTTAGGTACAAAGGTACCTAGGTACAGGTACTTAAAATCAAATTCTTAGAAGCTAGAAAAGAAATAAATAGTCCACCATATAGGTCATAGGTCAAATTATAAAAATAAAGTAGTAAGAAGTTTGAAAAGTTCAGAAATTTTACCTCAGAGATTTACCATGGTAGCACCATGAATGACAACCTTCAGTTATGTGCAGAAATAAAACAGGAGATTTAACAGGTGCATTCCTACTAATCTCCTCACCCAGAGATAGTAGGAACTGCAGATGCTGGAGAATCCGAGACAACAAGGTGCAGGGCTGGATGAACACAGCAGGCCAAGCAGCATCATAGGAGCAGAGAGGCTGACGTTTCGGGCCTAGACCCTTCATCAGAAAAGGGGGAGGGGAAGGGGGTTCTGAAATAAATAGGGAGAGAGTGGGAGGCGGATAGAAGAGGGATAGAG